AAACTCGACCGTCTGACATAGCTGCAATGGATATGGAACTTCACACACGGAAAATCGTCTGAGGATCTATGATGAAATACTTAATTATATTTATTTTGAAGAAATCTTATATAAAATCAATCGATTGTAGAAAAGAAAGCGTTTAGCTGTAGCACCCTTTCGGTGCCTAGCTGCCATGCCAACCAAAGGAAGAACGAGGGCTGGGATACTGTCAGTTTGCCCGAGCCTAGACAGAAGAAGTCGAGTGACGGAGGTCGGATTCAAACCACGGACATTTCGGTCAGTAAATTTGCGCTGTAACCACATGAGCCGCTTCGCCCTGATCGTAGAAAACCTTGGAAAAAGCTGCTCATGCAACCAAGACACCTTATTCCACCAAGCATGGTTTAACCTTAAAAGTTTCCAGAATTTACGCGACTTTGGGACACAATTTAGGCGTACATCGACTGATTCGAAGCAAAGAACCACCAAACACTGTTGGATCAGCGCAGGAATGCATGAAGTAGTAAAACGACCACGCGGAAAAAAGACTCATCCATCGCCAAATTTAACCGTCAACTTTCAGTGTTGCAAGGCAATTCCTCCTACACATATCAGGCAACTAATTCCGAATTCCCTCAGGTCCTTTATGGTGATCCTTCTGACCATTGAAATTGATACTTTCTTTGTAACTTATCATAACTCGAATTGTATCACTTTCTATCTCTCACTAAATCTCAGCTTATTCCTCTTCTCATCATACCGAATAACTTTTGTTTAAATGAAAGCAAGGAAATTTGGATGCATACAAACAATACAAATTCTATCGAGTTACGCTGTCATTGAATTAACGAGCGGTGACCTACCTTTCAGACTACGACGGGATAGAAAGTATTTAGGAATATATTAAGGAAGACTCCAGGATGGAGCTCGATTTGGATTTATTGTGGCAGTAATAACTAACTGTACCAACGAACTGTGAGTTGTATCATCTCACCTATTTTTTTACTCACTTGATTTAACTACTTTGAACTGGTATTTGCCAGCGTTATCTATTACATCTCTGCATCTTCACTTCTGTTTCCCTATATGGATGCTTTCTTAAGCTGCAGTACTTTGAAATCAGACTGCCGCGTATTCAACAGGTAGTTGGTAATGTGTGGTGTAGTATGGCGTAGTGGGGTGAAGTTTGGCGTAGTGCAATGCAGTGTGGCGAGCTTCGGACTATAAACCCATCATTGCACTAAAACAAACAATATTATCACCATATAAAACGTTTTCTCCCATAGCATATTTCTGTCCTTTCTTAGACATCACAAGAAGCGTTTTTAATAAGACGTTTCTTCACCAGCCTCAAGCATGCCAACCGAACAGTTCAAGGTTTCTATTTTGCAGGCGACCATCCTTTGGTCCTTCGCACTTGTGCAACTTAGCATGCATCTCACCAGTAGCCCAGCGAGAGGCGACCGCCATGGGGTACAACAATGCGTCACCTGTATGTTACTGGGTTATCGGGATGAACCTGCTCAGATTGTGGTTTATCGTGTTGCACCGTATGATCGTGAGCAGCCTAACAGATGGAAAACCTGCAGACCATGCCATCTTTTTAGACCAAGATGCCATCTTTGATGGTTACCCATCTGCGGTTTCTAAGTTTAAGCTTACATAGGAAAATGAGCCTATCAAGCGACCAGTGCCCTTTTCTAAGATTTCTGAGGGAACAGTCTGACTAGTGACTTTGTAGGTGCAAAGATCCTTTATAAATGGCCCACAAAGCTTGTTTAACAAGTGATACCAAGCTTATCAGTGGTGCCCGTATAGTTCAGTATCGCCACCAGCACCGTAATTATAGACTTACTAACAGTCTTAAACGTTGTTTAAATAGAGTTTCTGGTGATCCAGGATCGCACTGGTTGCATGGTGCGATGTGGAAAATACAGGCACGTTTTGTTAGATTTCACACTGGCGGCCGAGGGGCGATGGTAACACGTTCACGATCACTGTTCACACAAAGAGCCTGTTTCGAATTGCGACACAGGTTTTTCTGGAGCATGTCGTGCTCGTCACACTTTTTGAGGTCTTGACAACTTTTGGGTCGACCTGTTTCGGAATCACAAGGTTAGAGCATCTTCCTGAAGAAATCTGATGAGATTTCTTTAGGCTGTGACTTTTCGCTTGGTAGCATCAACTGATACGTCACAAGGCGAGCGGATCCACCGAATAACGGAATTCCAAAAAAACTAAACGTAACTCTGAGTTCCTAGGCAGACAGTACAACTCCGTAATGTTCCTAGGTGAACTAGTCAATTTAGCTAACTTTGAGATAATGGAGGAAGCCAGTTGGCATTGGTATCACACAATTCATGTTTGAAACGTTCGCTTGTTCTGGTCAAACACTTTCCCGGTCAAAACAAAGGCACTGCGTTCAAACCACCGACTTATAGCATCACGGTTAACCTCAAATCCTTTCCCAGTGTTTGCAGGGCTTTATTGTGACCATCGAAAAAGACAATTTGGCCAGTTGTTTTCCATGGGCGACCTGAAGAAACGAGTGACAAACATACACTGAGAACCACATATCACAGTTCAAATGTAATCACTATGGCGTTGATATCCTTCTCTCCCGCTAACCACTCTTCGTGCTCGAATATGTGATATGCTACTTCACTTCACTTGACTCACTACGCGTAAACAGATGTGTAGACTTTTACGAATTTGAGGAGAGGTATAGAAACATATGTCTGCAAAATCTCAAGTAGTAAACTCAGCTATGGAAGTTGTGAGGATTCAAACCAGGGCGTAAATCCTAGGAGACCACTTGATCGACCTTATCCTGCGCCTGTTCTTCGCCCGATATTTTCATTTGAACAAACGCGGTTCCTGCTCTGTGTACCACACTGACTGGTTTCGTGTGTTTCTGAGTGAAATGACAGAGCAGCAACCCGTAAATACATCACAAATGTTGCCTTCATCTATGAATCGTACTAATCACTTTTTTCCTTACTTATGCCAATTTACATCATCTTCAACATCATACTCTTGAAATGCGTAGAAACAAAAGGCAGCACGAAGTGAGTTGCCAATTCCAAGAAGCTTCTAGAAATGAAGCAACATCTTTAAGTATCCTGAATGAAACAAAAATCAATGAACATTCGGAAATAAATGTCACATAATTGAAAGGACTCGCTTTCGTGCTTCAACTTTATTCACCTCAAACCAACCATCAGCAGAATCAACATTTGGCCAATCGATGTTTGCGGTTGTTCTGTTGCAGTGTCCATCTAAAATCCATGTACTCTCGATTTTCAAGTCAATTTTTAGTACTCGCGTCACTTTCACCAAGCCGACCTGTCTGCCATGCAACTTTTTTTCTGATGCAACCTTGGCAACGGTAAGGTGAACAAGTAGAACAGTCAAACCTCTTTCGGTCTGCGATCCAAATGAGTGGTCGGATGTTCATTGCACTGAAAAGCTTATACCAGCAAGCGAATAAACCGTGACATCACGCTGCAAATTTGCGCAGGCTAAGTAGGTGGCCTAATCAGAATGGTTCAATAAAGCTCAAATTCTTCTCAGGAATCTGCCAACATAGACTCCGTGCATCCTGTGCCTGTTTCATTCGGTCATCAGCTGTTCTGACCGAAATTGATAGCTATTGGTAGAGCTTATGGCGTCGCACTACTGGACTAGACTTAGTAGTCATACTTGAATAACGAAATCAGGGCTATGTAGAAACGCCACATATATTGACATTATAAACAGAGAAAATAGAGAAATTCGGACAGAGGTTGGATTTTATAGTCGTGATGGAAATGCGCCCAAATTCCATGTCTCTGTTTGAGATGGGACATTTTCGTGCGCGCTTCTGGAAAGCATAAATTAATGAAAGAGTAACCGTCCACGGTATTGCACCAGTGTTACTCTCAGTGACGGTGGTCAGCTCTAAACATAGTGACTGGTGGCGAACGGAAGTCGAAAGAAGGGGGCAAACTTTTTGGAGCCACCTACTCCTTTGCATGTGACAAACTTAATAATTCTTCCGGAATGCTGCCTGCTCGGTATAACTGAGGGGTTTTATTCGGGTGTTGCTGACTTTTTTAAATCATGATGCCCTAGGCTATGTGAGAGATAGACTGAAATGGACTGCATAGTAATTGGTTACTCTGGTCTCATGGTTGTTTGTGCATCGATAGCCAACGATCGACCAAAATCCCCGCAACGGACACCACCAAGATTTGAAGCGCGAAATCGAGTACCTAGTACTAAATATAAAAACACAAAGATAGATACGAGACTGTTCGCCTGGACACAAGGTTTCTTAACGATGTATCTTCGTCTTAATACGACGCGATAACCTTGCGGCTCTCTTGTGGGATAAAGGTCTGAACTAAGCTAAAAGGTTAATGGTCATGCAAGTGCTCCGTGGCGCTGAATTTCATGGCGCTAGGAAAGCGTTTTCCAAACGAAGGACAGAGAAACCACGGATTACTATTCATATAATTAGGAGATTATACAGAAGCGGAAAGCGGGTGGACGGAACTGTCGTGAGTTAGACGTTGACGATACAAAAGCCATCGGTGTGGAAGAATATGCATGACGTCAGCGGCAAGATGTCAATGGACAAAATTAGTTGTGCAAAGAAACAGTAGAATCAAAGCCTGGAAACTGGTGTGACCGCGAAAAAGATGTCAATGGACAAAATTAGTTGTGCAAAGAAACAGTAGAATCAAAGCCTGGAAACTGGTGTAGTCGACCGCGAAAGACCGATAGTGACTAGGTTAAAACGAACCGAAACACAGTTGATGAAGCGAACACTTGGCTTATTGGTGGAGGATCGCTAAGCCAATAAAGACAGCTACTAAGGACTTTGTATGTTTAGTCGCTTTCACTCGATTTTGTTAATGTACAAGCCAAACAAAATCGAAACCCTAAATTTTTGATGCCCTAGTGACACTTAGAAAAATATTCCATACAGAGGAACTAGAACAGGATCAAAGCGTGTTAGTAAATTGCAACGTAACTTAGTCAGAGGGTGTGGAGGACTTGTATAGCCCTCTGACAAGAACACCTTTCTCGGCAGCATGAACGATCCCACGGCAAGTGTGTGAGTCAGTTCTATCGACATGAAACCCGTAGTTGGCGGAGAGGAATGGCTTGGTGTTCGGAGGTAACGTACCCTCACGGTCCTTCGAGGAGTTGATGAAGGCCGTCTCCATGTCGATTACCGGTGGGTTGCTCGTTGTGGTCTGAGGCTTGGCCGACATGGTAAGATCTCAAACGGCTGGTGCAAAAGACGCACGTTTCCCGCAAACGGGTACAATATATATCCATTCATATAAATATATACATCTGTGAGACAAGTGAGAAGATAGAAGAGCACTTTATAGAATAAACAGAGTGCTTTTATCCTCTTGAGGAGCTCATAAGCGGATGTAACCTACACGTGAAGAAACCTCTCTTTCGATTCCTGACAACGGCTCTCAATTTGAGCAAATTTGGAGGAGCATTTTCCAACACGATGACGAGAGTTTGCCCGAACTCACCAAACTAGGGTAGTCGCCTGGTCATTCATATTGCTCCAACAATGATACCCACCATACAACACCATGTTATACAAATATTCTTATCCCTTCTTCTCAGTTAATTGTGACTGTCAACAAGCGGTTTAACGTGCTTCGAGTTCATCAGATGTATTTTGGTTCTGTTTCAGCCATTTTTTATTCAAAGACGTACCGACATGAAGACGACTTCAACCAGTGGGCTGGTAATAGAAGACAATCTAAAATAACCATTTATTGCACGTTCCTGCTACTTCTGCCTCCGTGATGCCCAAAGTAGACATAAAAACGCTCTACTGAACCGTGATTCTGCAAGTTTTGCCATATATCTGCCCATGCTTTCAGGTTATTTGAGGTCTACTTAAGCTCAGAGCCTTGAAGCAGTACCACCAAACATGTCTTCAAAGTGGCTCACTAAAAAGCAGTCAGTATAGGGTGAATAGCCGAAATCCCTGATTTTTGCTCAACGATGGGTGGATTTTACCAAGTTTCTGTTGTGAGACATTCTGTTGACTGACACTTAATTTGATAGCGTAAATGTTCAAAACTGATGCACGTATTGCAGGACAAAAAGACGTAGCAACAATAAGCATAAGTAATTTCCCAAGGACATTCTTTTAAACGCTGTTTTTCATGCACCGCACAGTTAATTTAGCATTTGAATGTGGTACACATCAATAATGCGGTTCACCACGGAAGAAGAGCCTTGAGATAGGTTCCCTCAATGATTACCAGACGTCTTGCTGGATGGATAACCAAACTTGTGAACAGTTCTTAAAAGGCTTGGAGTAGGATTCGTCGACTCATTCCTCAAAGATCGATCGATGAGCCATATTTTTAGGTCCAAAAATATGAAATGAATAAGTCAAAAACGAATATTCAAGTATGCGATGAACAAGCAAATCAGTAACCCTAGGCAAAAACCATATGTATGGAGGACAAGCAACACAGTAGCCCTAGATAATTAGGTTATTGAATGGTTGCGCTGCAGACTGCCCAATCTCGGAATACAGGATTAATCTGCTGGACAGACAGGATCCGCAAGACAGTGAGACCACTGCAAGTTAACCCCCGGCTTCGAAGCTACGTCAACAAACTTCAGGGGGAGGTGTTTAGCGGGAATCCACGCGGATCCCACTATACCGCACGTCTTTAGGCGCTGCTACGACCCAGAAGCCTGGCCCGCGCGAGGTTAACCCAGAATTCGGGGCGCTCTCCGGCGCGGNCGAGATCTGATTGGTCAACAATCTGGACCCAACAGCCAGTCATGACCCAGTATTGGTCGAATGCCGGTTGCCAATGGCGCATCCAGAACGCGTCAGAAATTCCAGAAACTTATAACCGCTTACGCTATATATGCGAAGCGCTGTTCAACTGTTCCTGATTTCGTTTTGGGCGTTATTAGACCTTGTGCATCTTTGGTGGTTGTTTTGACGTGAACGCTAGCTTGGGAGGCTCAGACCGAGAACTAAGCTGAGGAAAATACCGGTACCACAATTCTTCAACTCGTACTTTCACAAGCTGAATGTGCCTAGCATTTCGAACACATTTCTGCGCATGGAAATATTTGGTCCTGGGAATGGGATACTCATGAAGTTGAACCAAGTCGTTGTTTGCTGTAGCCAATGACTGTGTTCCGAGGGGTTCGGTTTCTGACCAATTAGTTTCCCCAAATGTATCCATGGCTTCGCTTAAATCGGCACTCACTGGTTGCGGATTGTGTGAAGTTTCTTGCTTGGCTCCAGGTAACCGGAAACTGACATTTAACATTTAACTCCACACACTTGATATTTCCACATATTCTATTCTGCTAACAGTGGAGTGCCGCTTCGGCGATTAGTTTGTTACGTGGACCGTAGTCCTCGCCTCAAAACTTCAACATTTTCTAAATCTATTTTGTGTCCCGACTCTGAATATTTATCTGAAACTACAGCAGTCTTTTCGGCTAAGCGATGAATGAAGGCCTACATCTTTCAGTTTACTTGCTTGCTTGCGTCTAGCTTGCCATTGAACTAATTATATGGAGCCTTATAAGCTTAAATTACGGTTTGTAAACAACCATGTATCAGAAGATCCCGGTGTGCTTTAACTTACTGAGGATGACGGTGATAATTTTCACAATAGAGCATTGCGGCTGGACCGTATAGTAAACCTATTAAACAGCCCAATACTAACCTGTACGATTGGTGATCCGTCGCCTAGTTCCTCACATTCGCTCGTTTCACTCTGGCTGCAGCGCCATTTGTAGAAGACAGCTTGCCAAAAGTGTGCTCCCGTTTCCAACCCCAAGTGACAGCCACTCCCCATATTTATTCCCCTTGATCAGATGAACTGAAACCTCCTTGTTTTACTGAACTATTTTTATAACTCTTACGGACTTTGGTCGGACGTTGTGATTTTGCGGTTGCTCGCCGTCGATATCTGTTTGGTTGTGACGATATCGATTTTGAGGCGTAGTGATCTGCGCTGGCTGGTAATTGTACCGCCTTATTTTTGTAACCCTACGGTATCTGCAGAGGAGAATCCGTTGAGGTTTGTTGAATATGTATATTATTGTATTTGCAATAGTACCGTGATTCCAGAGTTCGGATTTCTTGGTCGTTTTCCTGGATTGGCACGCGTGACTCAAACTCAGAAAGCAGATAGCCGTAACACCGTTTACGTATTTATTGTGACATCCTTTACTAGGAAATTATGTAACCATGCAATATTTCTAGCTGTCTGTGAACATCGGCTAAAGCAAGCTTCACTTCCAAATCAATCCCATTGATAATAAATTACGAACTGTTGGCGAAAGACGAATAACCGAATTTATTCAAATGTTTGCTCACAAAAGAAGCACCAAAATATTGTTACAATAGGGGGTTGAACAAGGCAACTGCAATAGTACCACCGTGTGCGATACGGACCTTGAACCCAGTTGACGGTTCTTCCTTCGTTTTCCTCAGGATGTTTGAGGCCGCACTCGGCACAGATGCTATCATCTACTAGGAAATCTTGCAAACTTGGTATGGTGGGTGTTTCTTCAACGACTTCAGACGGAAGATCTCGCCCCGCGTCGCACACACCAACGGCTCGTCGCGGGCCAGTTTGGAAAGCTGGGAGAGTCCCCTCATCGTCTGAGCTTGAAATATCTACAATCGCAGCTTCGTCGGGAACAAGAGAGTCTCCTTGGCCCGCTGTAACAAGTCCCTCAGGAAATTCCGTCGCAAGGAGGGCAGGGGCATCCATGTTCAACAATGTAGACGGAGGCAATTGGTCGTAGTCCGCGATGCTCGTATCCGTACTTAGGTTGATGGGAGGTGGAAAAGTAAATGGGGGTGACTCTAGTGGGCCAGCCTGCTCCAAGAAACTACAATGCCACGTGGCGTACACTGCAAAATGTTCGGACTCCATCCCCTGATACGTGTTCGCACGTCTTTCAACACCATGTTCAACAAGGCGCTTGGGGTTCGCGTTCCATTTCTTGGCGCATCCAACTGCGCGAATGAAACAGCAATTGCACCGTTGTTTTTACGGGTCCAACGGGAACACACTGGCAGCTCGGTGACTTCTACATTTTGTGCCATGGCACGGTGCAGAAAATACCGTCAATGTATGTCAAACTGAGAAAAGTTCTTACATGTGCACGTTCGGGTTGCGTAGGTGATTGTCGCCGGTCGACGATCCATCATGATTCTGGCGTGCTCGTCGCTGCTCATGACTGGATGGGTTGAGCTCAAATCAGATGCCATTTTGGAAATGGCGTGGGGCATCAAACGACGGCACAATCTGCTTAATTCAGGATGGCCGATCACGAAGATTACGCCGAGACACATCGTATAGGGTTTTCTGACAATTCCATATCAAATACGTCGCGCTCATCCGTGAAACCCGTATGGCCTCCCACAGTCCAATTTTCCCGTTCAGCAGTTCTATTTTTAGGCATCCGTGCATGGCCTCGACCATGTTTTTATCGTGAATGCCATAGTTTGCAACTCGTGGCATTCTGCAGCTGGCCCACTTAGAAGCGTTCATGCGAATAAAGGAATTTATATATATGAAAAACGAAGGTCATTTAAACGAATCAGTTCCAAAAAAGCTAAATATTTCTACAATGTGGTTGTGTGCATGGCAACAAAAAAACGCGTAAATGATTGCGATGGCGGAAAACGTTTGATAACCTTCCTAATAATATGTACACCACATAATAAATGATTAGCAAAAGGAAATACACTGGCAATTGCGTTTCCGATTGCAAGCGCACCGTCAGACATAATGCAATTGACGAGAGAACCGCCACCAAAAAACTCCAGAAACGTTAGCAGAAAAGTTCGCCCGTCTGCCTCAGTCTCCTGCCAAAGAAAACTAATGGCCACAGGGAGATTTTTACGGCAGCCATCGACGATAAGCAACTGATACAAAAAATACTTGTGGTGGTTGATGGAAAACGTGCTGTCAATAAGTAAAAAATCAGGAAACCGTCTGTACAGATCGAGCATATCTAAGGTGAGGTGGATGAATTGGGTCACTCTATTGCTTCCATCCCTCAAAAAGCGGGCTCGTCCTCGTTCGTTGAAGTGTGACTCCAAGTCGAGAATGTAACCTGCACAAAGTACATATTTTTAACAGTAATTGGAATTACTTGGATCGTTCCGCCCAAAAATGTGTCGTGCGCGGATATTTCCGATATCGCTGGTTGTGAAGTATTTGCCGAACTTCGACTT